ACAACTATATTTAAATAAAATAAAAAATAAATTTTCATTTAATGTTAGCACGCATACGAACTAGCTACAAATTCTTATGTATAAAAATACAAACATAAATATTTACATAAATTTTATTGTAGAAATTTATTTCTCTTTTCGGTTTTGTTTGCTGTTTCCTAAAAATATCTGATTCATTAATTTTTTTTTTTATGATTAAAGGTGTTTAATATTTAAAGGTACTATAATTAAAATATAAAACTTGAATAATTAAATATTATATATTAGTGTGAGTGTTAACACTAGATTATAAAAAAAAAATAGTGATTTTTGCTTTATTGCTTTTGTTTTATTTACAACTAATTTTCCTTAGTTTTATAACTTTATACCCATTATAATTCAGTAGGGTATTACAAGGATAACAAATATTAATTAACATAATTTTTTTGAATTTCGACAAAGCACTGATTCCGGGAAAGTATCAGATGAATCACTGAAACACTAAAAATATTTGAAATATGTCATGAATAAGATCTAATAAAATTAGAAAATTCAGAATTAACCCTTTTTGACTCCTCATTTAATTGAAATATGTTCCATTCTCGTATCTCTAGCCGTGACAATCTCTAGTTAATATGAATAATTTTTAATAAAATCTTATTTATAATTAGTGTTAATAGTCATTTTCTTCTAAAATATCATTTAAATAATTTTTAATGTACAAAAAACTAGATTCAAAAGATTGACTACATTCAAAAACACATTGATATCTCAAATAATAATATTTAAAGAATGCATAAATTATATTTTAAAATAATGCTGGGTTAACAATAGACCTTATTACAATTTTCTATATGTAATACCATAAAATTTTTGTAAATTGTTGAATCGAATTTATAATGCCGAACGAATTTCTAATATTGTTCAATTCGTTCGGCATTATAAATTTTGAAAATAATTCTAATTTGTAAAGTCAGAATTGTCGCGTTCATGTCTAAAGGAAATCATTAGATGGCAAAATTATAAAATGAATGAAATTTTTGTTAAAAAAAAAAAAACAAAATACGCATTGCGTGACTCTAAGATTTGGAATATTTCTGTTTTGAAGAAAAGACGAAAAAATTATTCATGTAAGTATGGAGTTGAATAATAATTTCGTATATTTCGTAAAAAGAAAGTAGTAATAAACTCACATACATAGTTATATAAAATATATAATATTTGAGAGCGTATATATGAAAATTTGTATGTATATTGGATGTTTTAACGCACATATAGGCTGTTTCCTTTAAGTTTAAATGAATTTTTCAAATATTAAAGCATTTAAAGGATTTATTGAGGAGATGTCTGTATACCCTACCAAAATACATCGTTATTGAGTAAGCCAAACTCATATAAATTATAATATTTAAATTAAATTCTTAAAAATATATTCTGCTATCCAAGCAATTCTGCAATTCTATAAATCCGAATAAGAATTAATCGAAATTTGTCCTTGGAATACAATTTATTGAAATTTCAACAATAATTATATTGTTCAGAAAATCAATGTTATGATCGTTAAATTATTTAAAAACAAAATTTTTATTGATGATTGAAAATTGCACTCAAATTTACTTTAAGAAAAAATCAATCAAATCTAATAAGTCCCACAAAAATTTCCATAAAAAAAAAAATAAAAATTTTTAACTTTTCCCAAAAATTTTCATATTTTATTACTGGTTTTTTGTTTTTCTTGCAGTTCACAGTTTTCTTCATCATTCTTCTATAATCAGATTGAAATCAAAGAATTCCAAATTTATTATATAAATATATTATTATTATAAAAAAAAATTCAAAAATTATTAAAATAGGATTTATTTTATTCTGCTTAACCCAGATTTATAATTCCATTACATTCAAAAATATAAATGCGAAGGCTTGCCACTTGTACAGAAGTGGAAAGTACTTGTACTACAATGACTGGAAATTTTTAATAAAAAAAATTTAAAAAATTGAAAAAATTTTGTTTTAATACAAAAACAAAAAGTAATTATGGCAAAATCCGAGAAATAAATTTTTTTAGGAGATTATTTTCAAGCTTTAAAAATATTTTGCTTACAAACATAAAAATATCCCATAAAAATTCATTTTATAAAAATACCTATTTAAATAATTTCATATTTTAAATTATGTATAAATGAGTAACGTTAAATGTAGATTTAAAAGAGAGATTATAGTATAATTAACAAACAAAATAAATTTGTTTTCTTGTTTAACATATGCGGTATGCAGTTTTGCAATTCACTTATCGGGTAACAAGACAATTATGTTACAAATCTTTTTGCATATACGTACAATGTGGAAGGTTATGTAATGGCATCAAATTTCACATGTAGGGTAAATAAACTATATTTTTAGAGAGACAGTCTTGTCTGTCACGTATTTGCATAACTTTGCGCCTGAACAGATTATGATAAAATTTTATGTATGAATCAGCAATTTTCCTACAGGCCAAATTTATATTTTTGTGTCAATTTTCTTAAAATTTACTATTTAAAATGGGAGATATTAAAGTAGTGAAATTATAAATTTTTTGTAAAGATATAGGCTTGGAAACAGAATTAGAGGCCGATTTTCATTATTTTACCCTATCCACAGAAATAATTGATTGAAGTTCTTGAAATTTTATACATGATTTCTGGTTGTTACCGAAATTAACTGTACTTCGAGTAGCGTAAAGTATACCTTTACTAAGAGCCAAAATTATATTTTTTTAGGTTGGTATTTAAGAAAAAAAATTATAATCTGGCAATGCTGTCCCAACACTTTTATATTGCATGAAAATTATAAGGAAGTATTTAGAGAAAATAAAGAACAGCAGACCTTTTAAAGGTTATTTTTTTTTTTCAATTTTTATTAAAATCGAAAGCAAAAAAAAACACAAAGTAAGTGCTTCGAAATTTGAATTTGCTTTCAACGAGTTTTCCTTTATTCTTTTTTTTTACGTTTAAACAGAAAAGTGTAAAAAAAAAAACTCCCACAAAAAAAAAAGGATCTCATTTGTTGTATTGAATATTTGAAATCGATTCAACTTCTTTATCCTATAAATTGATTTTATAAAAAAAACAAAAATTTTTTTTGCAGAAATTATTAAGAAAAAAAAAAAAAGATTCAGAAACTTTTTAAAAAGAAAAAATTTCCCGACAATTTGAGTTCTTTTATACAAAAAAAAAACGAATCTATATACCTTTACATTATTATAAAGTAATAGAAAATACATGGGTCCGTTGCCGTTCCATATTGAAAATTTTCCGTCATAATCGAGATTTAAAAGTTTATTTGGGTAAAAAACAAATCTAAATCTTGTTACACCCTACCAATTCAAGGAATTTCAAAGAATTTTGAATTAACTCAATTTTTTTTTTCTGTTTTTGTTTTGTGAAAAGTTTTTTCCTGTTGTAATTTTTGGGATATTTTTGAGAACATGGAAGAAAAACAAAGAAAGTGATAAATATTTTAAAGTTTCTTTCATTCTGTTCATATTCAATTCAGTTCACATTTTAAGAACTTCATTAAATTCAAGTTAAAATAATTGAATTGAATTTGAATTATAATAGATTTTGATGTGACGTAATAAATATGGCGATATATTAAAATAAAAACGATAGTTAACTATTGATATTATTAAAATGATAGTAGAAAAATAAAATAAAATATTATTTGAAGTGTTGTAGTACTAACTACATAGTAAGTTTTTCGTAAATGTGTACTTCATTTCTCAATTTATTGAAAATATGGCGGACGAATGAATCCCAATGGCATTGACGGCTCATTCTGCAAATTTAACTTATTCAGAAATTTGTAGAATTTCCATAAATTTGCAAAATATTCAGGATTCTCTGTGGAATTGTCAACGATAGAGGAAGAAATTTCGTTAAAAAAGAAAATTGCACACTCATTTTATTGACCACCTGTGTTTGTACTGCCCATTAACAAACAAATTTCGGTAATTATTTTTTTTTTTTTAAATTTTATTATTGTGTTAATTTTGCCGCTAGTAATTTTCAATTTATTACCGTGCTTTCTCAATAAATGTTGAAAGTAAAAATATTGCTTAAAAAGGTCCGGATGATAATAGATTAATCCAATCTCATATTGCACAAATAAAACCAATGATAGTTTTGTGGCTTCCAATTTCAAATTAATTAACTTTGTACTCAATGCAGCAAAAACCACAAAACCACAATAAACACATAACTGTGGTAACAGTAAAATGAGTTAAAAAATTGAGTGCAATTATCATTATTTTAATTTGCTGCTATATAAACCATACTGTCAACCAAATAAATGTCATTCCAAACCACTTCTATATAATATGTAAATAGATTAGCCTAAATATTTAAATAATTAAAGAGATATTACTCTTTTGAGATTTTGTATCAAAATTTCAAATCTCTGCGATTCAATATTAAAAAATGAAATTTTTCTACTATATAACAAGGCTTGGAGGCGCTTGTAAGTTCTGTTGGGAAATGTAGAAGACTTCATGTTCTTGTTGAATTGTGGAAATGCATGTTCTTGTTGATTGTAAACCATTAATCCACACTTGGTATAGTTGCGTCTTCGCAGCAGAAGAGCTGCAAAAAATCACTTCACACAAAATATTCGAATTTTTCGAAAGTATAGTTCTTGAGGCAGTGCTTTAAGCTTGATAAGTATGAGAGGGAGACCACAGTAGATTCACCTCTTGGGTCCCGGTTCATTTTTACTACATATCTAATATAATAACAGAGTAATTACTTGCCCTATATTCTACAATATTTTTGAATAAAGAAAAACTCAAAATTGGAATTTGTCATACTGGAAAATTGTAAACAATGTTGCAATTTTTTTAACTAAATTTTGCTATTATCAAAATAAAAATAATATTTTGACAAAATAGAATTTAAAAATTAATATGAAACCATGATTTTTATATTGTTATTAAAAAATAGTGTTAGAAACAAAAAAAAATATAATTAATTTAGTTAAAAACTTACCTTAAAAAAAATTCTATTATAAACCAAATAACCACTAAAATTTCCATTCTATATAATATATATAACGCTTGCTCTTCGTATTCTTTAATTGTGGAAAATACGCTTAAGGCCAGGCACGTGAACACCATAAAAAAACTGAAAAACAATAGAAAAACAAAAATTTAATTTTTTTGGTTTTTTTATTTTTAGTTTTGTATTTTTAATAAATCAAATGAGGAACTTTGTATATAAGGTAATATAAAAGACTTTTATATATATATATATATATATACATATGTTGTAATGTATATATACATATAAAGTTTCAATGAAATACACTCAACATAACAAAAGTATAAAAGAAGTAATCATTGTTTTTACTATGCCCGCTAACGCTTTGTTTTTGTTTTTTTTTTTTAGGCAAAAATCTCATCTTTGTAGCTTGTCTGTTTGGATTCTACGAAAAATAAAAGAAGAAATGTTATTTCAACAAACCATTCTAATGAATATATAAAATGAAGTAATCATTAAGGGGTGGGTCTGAAATGAATATATTCTAGTGAAAAACGTATAGAAAAATTATTTTAAATACTGCTATGATTTTTCTTTGAATAAGGAAAAAAATAATAATTATATTCTAAATTTTTGGAAGGTAATCCGTATTTTCTTTAAATTCATTGAATTTAATTAATTCTAAAAGGGATGCTTATACAATTTGTGAATGATAATGATATTAGCGTGTATTACGCATGAGATCTTTCGACAAATTATTCAAAATATGAAGATGATTTCAAGGGGTGTCCTAAAAATTTGTGTGATAAAATTATGAAATAAAATTACAGAAAATAGACGCTGTACCTTAAAATAATCGTATATTGGCATTAGAAACAGTAACACTCTGTATAATTTATAATCTTGACATTAATTTTCAAAAAAAAAAAAAAGAAAAGTAAAAGATCTGTCACCAAGAATAATAGAAAGGAAAACACAATATTTTTACTATTTAAAAATTATTTTTTAATTATAATTTAAATGTCCTTTTGCATTTTTACAATTTGAAATACAAAATTTCTGGTATACTTAAAGAGAATTTCATTTTGTTATATGACCTCATTTTGCGTAATTTTTTTATCTTACATTAATTTTGTTTAACCTAGTCTTGAATATCCTAGTCTTTTATATTGTGACAGACTTGATTCTAATTTTTTTTGTTAGAAATTTAGATTTTTATTCTTTTTTACGCATATTTACAAAATCTTTTCAAAAGCTGAAAGAATAGCAATAATGGAAATTACTTCTTTTAGTTTTGAAAATATGAGGCAGTAATTTCTAGTATAGTGGCCTTTATAATATGCGAACATAAATTAGTGTACAAAATAATGTGAAAATAAAAATTTCAAAAGAAAATTCTACAGTATTTTCTTACTAATTGTTTATAATATTACAAAGTAGTCGAGGCTAATATATAGCCTCGACTACTTTGTAATATATTTCAGTAGCCTCAACTACCTTATAATAAAAATTTAGTAGCTATGTTAAAAAAGCAATTAAAAGAATCCTCTTAGAAGCACAATTAATGCACTTAACTGAACTTGCTTAACTGCCTTAAACGAGCTGTTAAATGAATTAAAACAAAATCATAATGACACACAAATATGTATGTATGTACATATATTTATCTGAATTTATATTCTATGAATATAATTCTATGAATTTTGCAAACTCTGCTGAAGTCAATCCTTCTTTGATAGCCATCAATGAGATTTAAAAGACCTTATAATATCTAAACTTTGAAGCTGAATTTGAAAAATATGTAAACTATTAAGTAAACGGCATTTTCTATAAAATGCTTGTAGCTAGTGGCAAATATTAGCAGCATTAAATTTAAGTTTGTTAATAAAAATTTTTGCTTCTGCCATGGTTTGGAACTATGCTATAAAAAGAATTTTTTTCATATGAAAACGAAAAAAAAGCGTTCAGAATTTGATACCCTAAACTAAAACTGTGCTATTAAAAAATTACGTTTAAAAGAACTTATTTACAAACAAGAGTAGCTAACCAGATTTAACTGTAATATAATGTAAAATATTAAGAATACCCATAGAATTCGAACAGATTTAAAGATTTCGAAGAAAATTCTCATATACTTGTACTACCTCTAATAATATTCTAACAACCTTATTGTGTATATCTAGCTTTTATCTCTCACTTTTTAGTCTCACTTTTTCGTCTCCTTTAAATCAGAATTTTACGTTTTTCTAATGGATACTCAATTTTTTCCAATAAGATTACACATTTTTTCAATTGAATTTTTGAATTTTTTCTCAAATGAACAACTGAACGTCCCAACATCAAAAACAAAGTGAACAAATTTTGTATACCTTTTCCAAAAAAAAACGAGATATGAAATATGGAATAATTTTCGTGTCTCGAAAATTACATTCTACAAATTTATGGTAGTTACTCAATTTCTTTTCACTTGACGAGTAAAATATCGAAATACACGATCAAGCTCTAATTGCTAGATCAAGATTTATTATAAATTCATTAATGTTGCCCTAAAAAAAAAAAAAATAGTGAATAAAATCTGATACCAATGTAAATTATCACATCAGTAAACAGTAAAAAAAAAAAAATTTCAATGAATACATAAATTCATTGAAACTAGAATCGTGTTTATGCCCCCAACACAATATGCAAACAACAATATTGCATGCTACCATCTAATGTTCATATAAGTAACTAGTCAAGGTAAGTAACAGTATCGCAATTTAAAAACAAAAGAAAAGCAAAAACTGTAAAATAACAAAAAAAAAAAATAATATTTTATTTCTTGGTACTTAATTTTCTTAACAGAACTACAAAAACAACGAAGCAAAAAAAAATAAAGTGCCATTAAGGTATTTACATGACTTTCAAATAAAAATGAATTGAAAAAAAAAATTTTTTCATTCTCTATTTTGAAAAGTAAAAGTTGCAAAATTATACCGAATAAAAAATGTTAGGTCAGACCTATTGAGAATAATAATAACACTAACACACAAAAAAAAAAAGAACAAGAAAAAGAAAAAAATGGAAAAAAAAATAATATGCCACATAAGTAGTCCTTTGGGTATCATACTAGTACCGAGCTTATGACTATAGTGAAGGGAAAAAAATATGAAAAATAAACTAACTTTATTATCTCTATTACTATCTTATTTCTCTCTTTCAGCCCATCCCCCCTCCCTTCTTCTCTATTACTCTCGCTCTCTCTCTCGCTCTTTCTATGATTCTTTCTTTGGAATAAAGCAATGGAAATGAAAGGAACACAAACACATTCTTTTCAATTTTTTTTTTTTGTTCTTTTCTGTAATTTGTATTAGTATAACAGTTATTAAGTCTATTTACATTACGTTATGAATATTATTTCATAAAATGTAAATTTTTTTTTTTAAAAGAAAATGGAAAATGATTCAAAATAATAAATTGGTTCAACTATAACGTACTCGTATAATATGGTATTCTCGGACGAAAAATTTTATACAATATTGGTTTAAGAAAATCTTATTTGAACTATGACAATCTTATAACATATATAACAGTTTTATAACATTTTATAATATATAAGGAATTTATAAATGTGTTCATCAAAATATTGTTAGGTAATATTAATTTTATGGTCAAATTGAAGTTGTATTTTCGACCCCAGTGTTTGCGAACTAATATTTACAATTAAAAATAATAAGGACCATGTTCATCTCACATTCATGTTATTGTATATCTGCCATATTATTAAAAATTAAAAAACGAGTTCATTGCAAAATTTTATGTATTTAAATTGTGTATACAACGAAACATTTCATTATATAAAGGCACATCGTCATGTATATTTAATTCGCCCAAAATGTATTTAATCAAATCTGTTCTAAAATTAATGAAAAGATATTTTCTAATATTATAAATATAGAAATAGTTACAATGTTTTTGAATAAAATATGTTAATTATAATAATAAATCAAAATATTATTAATTAACATAATAAGTTATACCATTTATATACATATACATGCATATTATTTCAGACAGTCATGTATATTATTATTTGAACACTTTATTGCTTTGTTAAATACAAATACACGTGGTAGATAATTTATTCATTTATGTCTTTAAAATATTATTATCATGTCGCTGTTCTGTTTATTGCCATGTCACTGAAAATTGTACAACATGTTTTCTCTATTTATATTAATAACGCTTTTAGTACTATAAAATATTAAAATTAAAAAATTATATACAATTTAAATTTCTACTTGCACTAGAAATTTCTGTAATATAATACAAATTGATGCTCAATGAAAATTTATACTAACTCATTTAGGAGAATAAATTTTAGAATTCTCTCTCTCTCTATAATATTCCATTTCTCTATAATATAAGCTTGCTTTTGAGAGAGCATTTTGTATGAAATACACAATTATTTAAGAAAAATTTTCTCACTTTTTAATTTGTGTATTGAAAGTGATCGTAAAAATGTGAAATTCTAAAATGAAATGTTAAAGTTTAAAAATATACAAACTGTACTGTATTTTCATATATAGTTAAAAATAAACTCTTTGTACATATATTAATACTCTTTATGTATGATTTCACATTATGTGTCCAGAGTAACTGAGCATGTAAGAGAATAACAAAAAATCCAACAATAAAGACAACATTTTTTTTAAATTAAATGTAACCATTATAGTAAAACTATTTATAACTAACCTCTGTACAAACAAGCCGACCTTTACATAATATACTAGAGCATATTGCATAGCTTAGCAAATATATATATATATACTTATATAGTATGTTATAATATTTAACAAAATTATTATATAAACATTGTCTAGGTCTAGAATGAAAATAGAATGCCTATAACACATATACATGCATAAATTCCAATCCCTTTTAACTATATTAACGTTGTTTTAAATAGAAAAACATTAAAAAAATTTTTCATGTTGCTTTTTTTTGTTTATTTTCTTTTATAGTTTTGTTTAATTTTTAGTCTTATTTTTTTTTGGGAAATTTTTTCTATATGGCTTGTTGCTATTATTTCTATCTATACATTTTTAGCACTTTTCCAAAAATTTTTGAAAAAAAGTGCTTATTTGTTTCACTCTGTCCATCCG